CCTCGCCACACGCAGCTATCAATGAAACGTGATCGAATGCGATACACTCGGACACGTTTCATAACATCGTACCGACACTCTGTACAATACTTATAAAAATAATGATATCCCATTCATTTAAATACTGTCTAAGAACATCGGTTTCCGAATTTGAACTTAAAACCAGCGAATTTATAACAGGAAAAGTTCTTTATCTTATATCTATCGAATACGGGGATTGCTCTCTCATTCACCGTATTCCATACGATTGAACTCATTGCTTATAGTGAGTTTGCACGTTTTGTGCTGACTTTAAACATTTCAGTAAGATCTCTACATGAACTCTACATATATTGTCCATTTGTCTAATACTAGTGAAACAAGTTGTCAGTGCTGTGGATCGGCGACAAACTGCTGTTAATGTAATATTCCGCGATGGTGCTGTGTGCGTAACGTACTCGCAGTTAGCCTAGTTGCGCCCCGCATTGTTACGTGCGATGTAAGGACTCTGCATATACTTATATGTATGCGCAACAAACAAATATTCATTGTAGAAAATCTTCCTGTCTTAGTTACTGATATTACGTACAGGGTTTGAATCTCGAGTTGTTTCCACTGGGTGCCGTGGTATTTTGTGTCTTTATGATTTTCTCTATTTTGGCGCTAACGGTAGAAGTTTGCAGCGGTAATACGGACTCGAATCATAGGCATAGCGTGTTTGAGTTAGAATGAAAGAAACGCTGTAATTTTCGAGCAGCAACTTGTCCATTTCTGTAGAGTGGAGTGATAACTACTTTTATACCATAAGAGTACAATTAAAATCTGTCTTTAAAAATCGTATTTAAATTACTTTTGCCTTTTAATTAACAAAATGCTAAAAAATCCGCAGTCGGTAGGATTCGAACCTACGCTCCCAGAGGGAATCTGATTTCTAGTCAGACGCCTTAACCGCTCGGCCACGACTGCCGCTTCTTATGCATGCGTAAAACAAAACCAATTTCTTTCATAGTGACGCAATATTTTCATGAACGTTCACACGGACGTTCAAGGGCATCCTTGTCCTGTGTCGAACATAAATCTTCGTTAACAATGCTCATGTAATGTTTTAATTAGCATGAAAAATAAAGTAATTAAGTATCGCAAAAGTGTTTTTCCTCGCAATATGTAGAACGCTTTTTTGAACAACGAACAAACAACAATCTTTGCCCGCTACTCCGTTATCTGAGCAAATACTTTTAGTTATTATCCTAACGTCAGATAACTGTGTAGCTCGGTGATTGATACTAAATGTTTGAGACAATAAGAAATAACGGAGGCATGAGGTGTTTCGTACTCGGATGTTACTGCACTTTTATAAGGTCATTTGAAAAAAAATGACTTGACTTCTGGTGTCAAATGTTATATTACTACATTTAATTTAAAGCCCGTTATACGAAAACCCATCAGTAATATATATTATCAAAGAACTTATACTCTGTTGTCTAAAATTACAACTTTGGCCTTGACTGCACTTAGTCTAACATTTAAACTCTAGCTAAATTCTCTAATCCAATGTATTGTTTGTTCGCAGACAATGACGTCATCTTAGAAAGGATCTGTCAACAGAATGGCCAATAATAAATGTATAAGCGTATGCGCAGACGTGAGAGAGATGAACAACATCAACAATAACCTCACCAAAGCCCAGCAGACGAACACGGGATCGAGAGAGCGTGTGCAGATGGACGCTACTGACTTGAACATTAATTGCGCCGAGTGCGCCGAATGCATCGACTGCGCGGGCCAGCAGAGAGTCAGCGAGCCCGCGCCCACGCCCGCCCTGTCAGACATACAGCAGTTCTACCACGGCAAGAATATCCTCATCACGGGAGCTACTGGTGAGTGACATTATACAATCGCACAAAGTACGTCAAAGTCAAGGCTACATTTTGCATAGTTTCACGCTTTAAGGAGGTGTAAGTGATTGTATATTACAATGTAAGGCCAAATGTTTGTAAAAAATTGTTGAAGGTCCTCTTTCTTTACCTAACAAATGTAAATGTGGACGCACTCAGGTTCAAAGGACTTAGGTCGATATATGCACGAATTTAGTCGAATTTTGTAGCCAAGATCTTTTGCGACTTTCCGAAAGGACCTATGTTTTTTGTTTTCATGTTATATTGAGAACTTAGTCAGGGGTACCCAGTAGTGAATATTGATAAAGATATATTTTAATTAGTTGGACAGAGCAGAGCCCCGTGCACAGAGCACACAGCGTGTCAGGTGAGCCAGTGCGGCGTGTGCGAGCGGTGACCTTGGCCCGGTGGCCGCGCTCACGTAACCGCGCGCGATAAATGAAAGCTTTCCTTTTGCCACCGCAGCGAAATATCTCGCAATCGTTATGCACGTGTTTTAACATTTTAATGGCATTGATATGATTGTATGTATTGTGACGTCAGCTTGATAATCATTTTCGATTATCGATACCATCTTGGAAGGAATGATAATATGGCATGTTTGATAATAATATGCTTCTGTTCTAGTAGTTTCTAGTAAATGTGCGTTTTGGATAGGTTTCTTGGGCAAGATCCTGGTGGAGAAGCTGCTGCGGTGCTGCCCCGGTGTCGACAACCTCTACCTGCTGGTGCGTCGCAAGCGCGGTCAGGACATTTACTCCCGCCTCGAGGACATCTTCGAGGATCCCGTGAGTACCTTCAGGATTTAAGAGCGACTATACTAATACGAATCATAAGACGCATAGCATATCTACATACATATATCTGCATGTTTCCCTAACACTCGGATGTTCTAACAGCGATGTCTCTTGTGACGCAATGCAAATACTAAGTTGTTCAAACGAATTAGGCCGTCAGAGGTCACAGTGGAATTCATTAATAACCACTTTCACTTGCAACGTTCATCTTGTGAAGTATTCAACAAATATGTACGAAGCAATGCAAACAATTTATAGCAATAGCAAAACGATCTTTGTAGTTTTCTAATAGGAAGGCAATACATACATGATCTGGATTCATCCAGAATATGGAAGGTAATTAGACGTTCAAAGCACTATATTTATCAAGTACTCAAATTGTTAATACAGTAAATGTAGTGAAGTACTTTGAGAATATACCTTCGACCTCACTTGAAGTGGCCAACAAGCTGGAGGTTAAACTAATCCACTTTAATGTGATAAGCACCGCCGCAGCCTCCGCCGTTTGTTTGCGCAGCCGCACTGCAACCACGGACATATTGCTCCTCACAACTGACACTTGCAATAACACCGAGGTCAATAATACTACAACTTATTTACCCAGATAATAATGCCACTGGTTTCGTAGTCATCTGTTTGATGTGTGTTTTGATAAAGGTGTTAAAAGGTATTACCACAGTACTATTGTGCCATCGCGCAATCCTACAGCGACATGCGTAGACTTCAATGCTCTACTAATGCTATGTATGTAATAATACTATGTTATAATACAGTTGTTACACAAACTTTAAAGACACACCTTGACATCGCAGGATACAGTGAAGTGGACGAAGTCAGCGATAGCAGCCGACAACTTTAATAAACATACAAACAGGCTTAAATCATCCTTACTCGGATGTTTATTTAACGTCATACACGTTTAAAATATAATTTACGAAGGTTAAGTAAGTATTACTATAACATAGGTACCGCAAAACAGAATTTCGTAAAGTAAATAGTAATAAAAAAGACTCACATGTATTAAGACAAAAAGTAAAGGTCATTAACACGTCTGTTTTGCACTGATCTGTTTTATCGCTAGTTAAGGTAATTTTGAAAAACTATTGTAAGCATTAACATAACTGCACAGTGAAATGTAAAAATTAACAGTATCGTATTCTAACTGTTCATCTCGTCTTCGTCATCATAATTCTTGAAAAAATATCGCAAAAAATTATTAACAAAATGGTAAAACTTAAAGGCACAGTACATGGAAAAATTTAATGGCTTTTAAAGTCGTAATTGGACATATTTAATTTTATTGCCGTATTGTGTTGAATAGTAACATTGTCACACGCAACCGACTCATGTCACTCATGTCGTGCCACCTCCCCGCAGCTCTGCGCTGCCCCGCTCCTCACCGCTCCTCACCGCTCCTCACTGCTCCTCACCGCTCCTCACCGCGCAGCACTATAAATCAACATCCTACATCAAACAAGCGAAGGATTTTCCTTTGCAAATGTTTACTCAACAACAACAAAACTTCTTTGAAGTTCATCCTCGTGTCTTTGTTAACATTTATATTGTCTATTTGCTCTAATAAACATAAGCAATAACTACAAGTATGAATGCAAACAAACGTCAGCATCGCCTGTGAAAGACCACAACGTTAAATGAACTCTGTACTTTGCGGGAAAACCTACACCATTCTCTCGATGACTCCGGACAAAACAAATTGTAACTAATCTAAACAATTCAAAATCAAATTGTATAGTTAAGTTTGAAGATGTATTTGGTTGAAAGAATGAAATATTATTATCAGATTATTTCACAATTAACTATCCGAATGCGTGAAAACTTTGCAATATATGTAATATTAGTAATGACGGAGTGCATCGTGTCCCAGGTGTTCGACCGGCTGAAGGCTGTGCTGCCCAAGTTCCGGCACAAGGTGGTGGGCGTGCCCGCGGACTGCGCCGCGCCCGGCCTCGGCCTCACCCTCGCTGACAGGCAGCTACTCACCGACAAGGTGCCACACATGTGCTGGACTTGCCGACACACCGAGTTTCTGCTTATTATCTATTAATTAACATATTGGATTTCTACATTATTTATTTACGAATACGATGGTTTTTAAAAAATATATAGTTCGCTAATAAAACACAAACTATGTGAAACTATATACATATTACGTCATGTTCACAACATCCGCTTTTGACCGACAATTGACGCACAACGCGTTGAAATCTTTTTGTAGGTAAAATATCGGGGTGACGAACGGAAGTGCTATTAAAGATTTACGCACATATTCTTATCCTATTTATTTAAATAGTTGTTGGAAATGACCGTTTTCCTGATTCAAGTCAATCACTAAAATCTCCATAACATTTAATTTACCTCAAGTCAACTAAAATATATTCAATATATTTACTTGTTTACAACTTAAACATGTTTGAATTGTTCAAGTGCAAATCATACAGTTAGAGTGTGATGTACAATTATGAGATGTTTACAAATGTGTGTGTACAGGTGAACGTGATGTTCCACTGCGCGGCGACAGTGAAGTTCGACGAGCAGCTGCGCGCGGCGCTCGCCACCAACGTGCGCGCGCCGCTGCATCTGCTGCGCCTCGCGCGCGACATGCGCCAGCTGCAGGTGAGCGCCTCGCCAGCCCTCACCAGTCCTCGCTAGCCTTCGCCAGCCCTGGCCAGCCCACGCCAGCACCTCGCACATCCCACACCACAACTCGCCATTACTACCATATACGAGGACATCTCAACCCGTCCTGAAACTTGCTACAAAGTTTCATTTGTAATTGCGTCGTATCTTCAATGTTTAACTTAGTTTAACTCGAAAGACGGAACGAGAACCACTACAGCTGTATTGTATTTCGTACGATAGTTGTAAACCGACTGATATGTAATGCGCAGGTGATGATGCACGTATCGACGGCGTACTCCAACTCGCACCTGGCGCACGTGGAGGAGCGCTTCTACCCGTGCGCCGCCGACGCCGAGCGCCTGCAGCTCGCGCTCGACGACATGACGGACGCGCAGATCGACGACATGCTGCCCACGTAATCATTTACACCTTCATAGATACCGCTTTCTATTATACTTTGAATATGAAGAAGAAAACATGAAGCAATACTAGAGTACAGTTGTTGATACATCTCGTATCGCTTATGTTGTAGCATCCTCGGCGAGTGGCCCAACACGTACACGTTCACGAAGGCGCTGGCGGAGAAGGAGCTGCGCCTGCACGCCGCCGGCATGCCGCTCGGCGTCTTCCGCCCCGCCATAGGTCAGCACCGCCACACTGACTGCAAGACGGTCCAAGTTTTTGATCAAACTAAACTACACACAGCTTCGATGTAGACGTATAAAATGTAGACAGGGAAGGTGTAATTGTAATGATTATTTACTGTATTCGTTTCCAGTGACATCGACTGCCAAAGAACCTTTGAAGTGCTGGTTGGACAACATGTACGGCCCCACCGGCGTCGCCGTCGGCAGCGGTACGGACACCACTTTATTTTTGTACTATTTTTGATACAAATCACCGAAAATCAGGGGCATACATACATACATGCTGCTGCAAAAACGTAACTTTACATTTCTAATTGGAAATGTTTTGTGTCTTGTTGTTCAGCGACGGGCATGCTGCGCACGCTGCAGTGCGACGCGCGCGTCACCGCCGACCTCGTGCCCGTCGACTGCGTCGTCAGCTGCCTGCTGGCCGCCGCGCGCCGCGTGCACCTCGCCTACGCCGCCAGGTCCGCGCTGCACACGCCGCACACGCCGCACACGCTCACACGCTCACACGCCGCATGCTACATTGTATCGTTTGTTGCTGACGTAACTGTTTGCCTCTAGTTCTCCGCCACCGGAGCCGCCCATCTTCAACTACGTGAGCTCCGTGGAGAACCGCATCACGTGGGGCGACTTTAAGCGGCACAACTTCGCGCGCATCGACTCCCAGCCCTTCTCCAACGCAGTCTGGTGAGCACCGCACCGCCGCGGCGTGTCGCAGCGTCGCGGACAGCAGTAACGTGTATCCGTGTGTCTGTGTCAGGTACATATCGCTGCGGCTGACGCGCAGCGCGCGCCTGCACCGCCTCTACACGCTGCTGCTGCACCTCGCGCCCGCCGCGCTCGCCGACGCGCTCGCGCTCTGCCTCGGACACAAGCCCAAGTACGCGCCCCCTACCTCCCCCTCCCCCTCCCCGCCTGCCAAGTACCTGTACTACAAACACGCCCTCTGCCACAGGATGCTGAAGGTGTACAGCAAGATCCACAAGTTCTCCGAGGTGATCAGCTACTTCTGCACGCGCGAGATCACCTTCTGCAACCGCCGCACGCGCCTCCTCTGGGACACCACCTCCAGCCAAGACAAAGAGGCAAGTACAGTCGAAACATTACCAAAATTATTCATCCCACTCCCGGAGCTCGAAGTAAACGTGAATAAGAGTTACTTTTCATTTTTTGACGCTGATTTGTTGTAAAAAAATGTTAATACTGACGTATATTTATATATTGCAGCTGTTCCCGTTCAGCATGGCGGAGGTGGACTGGGAGGAGTATTTCGACCACTATCTGCTGGGCATCCGGCGCTATCTCTTCAAGCAGTCGGACGACTCGCTGCCGCGCGCCAGGATCAAGTGGAAAAGGTACGGAGACCTTTACATCGTCGTGACACAGGACCGACCGAGTCTTTGCTTCACTTCAACGGTACATTCTTTTGTTGCAGGTTATACTATCTGCATCAGATAGTCCGATTTATTTTCTTCGTGTTCGCTCTGTACGCGGTTTGGTCCATGCTAGCCCTCATATGGTGACATCACGACGACGGAGACATTCGGGTGGCTGAATGTTCTGCCGCCGCGCCGGCTGGAGCCCATTGTAAATAAATGCGACGACCACAGATAGTTTAAGTTCTAATCGAATCGGGCATTGTCATGTGACTTGCGCTGACTTCGATCAACAATACACTTGATCCCGAATTTACTATACAGTATTGTTTATATTAGCGCAAAGCCACACGGCAAATACCAAGTGGAGACACATGTACCTTTGTTACGGACTGCCTACACCTCGTCTGACATAAGGTGATAAGTGAATACGTCGCACTGCGATAATGACGAGTGCTTTCTAATCGACTATTCGTCATAGTTCCTCACCGCGGGGGCCCAGTCTACACAAGTTGAGGTAAAATCGATTTTGAATCATTTTTTCCGGTTGTTATTCTTACAGAGAAATAGTTGGTAGTCGTGAGTTGTAAAGTCAATCAACTTCCAACGGGTGTACATCAGACGAGGTGTAGTCAGCTGTATTCTTATTATTTTATTTCTGTAAGTATATACATTTCAAATTGTACAGTTGTGTTGTGCACAACATTCATGTTTAGTCTTGATTGTATTATCATAAAATTTTATATTTAGAAATAATCTCTAGTATAATTATTTAGTAACACCGATGTTGTTACCAAATTATTGTAAATAGTTTGTATTACATTATTATGGGTAATATTTGTAACAGAGTCTTTCGTACGTATGATACAAGAGATTTAACAATAAAATATTATATTACAATATTTTGAGTTTTTTTTCTAACCCCTCATTATGCATTACAGATATATTGTCATTTTTTATGAAATAAAGACGTAAAATAAAACAAAAATTCAGTAAACATTGTCTATTTATTTGATGCGTTCATGATGTTGTATTGTGTGGTGGCTGTGGCGGATGTGGCGGCTGTGGCGGATGTGGCGGGTGTGGCGGCGAGGTCGCGCAGGGAGCGCTGCGCGGAGCCGGGGGCGCGCGGCGCGGGCTGCGAGGGGTGCGGCTTCCACCCCACCCAGTTGATGATCTGGAAGGTGGCCGGCACCCCGCGGCTGCCGCGCTCCGGGAAATCCTGACAATACGCATCTTATACATATATCGCCTCAATTACTGCAGAAACCTTAAAAATACTCGAAAGAAGAAGAAAAGAAAAGAAAAGAACCTTAAGAAAATGTTTACTATTATTGACGATGTAATCGCACGTCGTGCGTCATGTCTTGCAGATAAAACCATACGGAAACAGCTAGTAAAGAAAATAATTGATGGTCGGCCCTTACTGTGCACACACTGCTACACCTGGGATAGCTGTGTGTGCATTGTGCGGTGTGTCAAGTAAGCGCTCACCTTGCCGTACATGAGGTCGTAGACGGCGGCGGCGGCGAACTGCAGGCTGCGCGGCAGGTGCGGGGGCCGCGACAGCGCGGCGTTGCCCTCGCCCAGCGCGCGCACGTCGCGCATCACGTGCCACGCGCTCGGGAACCACACGCGCAGCGCGTCCACGTCCACCGTCTGCAGCGTGAACCCCGCGCTGCACTCCCACACCCACACCCACACCGCAGCTTTAAATAACTATCTCTGTTGATATTAAAAGATGCGAGTTGGGATACTGACGCGGTGAGCAGTCCGCCGACGTCCTGGGGCTGCGTGAAGGGCGAGATGTGCGGCGCCACGCCCCCGCAGCGCTCCGCCTCCGCCAGCTGCAGCGCCTGCCGCAGCTCCAGCAGCGTGCCGCCGCCGAACACGCTCGCCAGGAACACCTGCACACGCACCGCATGCCACTGCTCCATATCCCGCTTCTTACTAATATTATAAATGTGAAAGTTTGGAAGATTGGATGTTTGTTTAAAATTGTTGTTTAGATTGAACAGACGTCAAGGAACTTATGCATAGATGTAGAGTATAATCTGGAAGAACACAAACTCACTTTTGTGTTTTTTAATCCCATGTCGCTAAAGTCTTAGGCCAAAAAAAATAAAAGAATATAAACACTTCTTCAAACTATTTCACAATATTATCAAATACATATAGATAAAATCTACCATGAGAGCTATACTATATATGTGCATGCATGATGTGTACTGACCCCGTCGGGTTTTAGGCAGCGCATGATTCGGTCAAAGCAGCCCGGCAGGTCGTTGACCCAGTGCAGTGCCAGCGATGATACCAGCAGGTCTACACTGTCTTCTGGGAACTTATCAAAACATACTTGTTATTTATGAAAATTTTTATATGCTGTTTGACACAAACATACTACTAAATACAAAGACAAGTGAAAAGATTCTTTTTATGATAGTTTCCATTGCAATTTGATATAAATAATGTAGTATGTAAATTTTAGAGTAAACATACCTACTTACTTCCAAATTCTCTTCATCCATAATAACCTTTTCATATTTAACACCATCACCAATGATAGCTTTGTCCAAATGAGTCTGTGATGTGTCACACAGGGTCACCTTCTCCACGCTGTCAGGAAGAAAGTGGCGGGACACATAGCCTCTGCCGGCCCCTGTACAATTAAATGTGAAAAGACCACTTAATTCAAATTCATACCTTCAAAGATTCCAATCTTGGGGACAACATTTACTTCCACTAAACATGTTTGCATAATGCTTGAACGACTTACCTAACTCGACTGCATTTTTAAAAGTCCTTTTAACATCAAAGACTCTATCAGCAGTCCTCCAGCCGATCTCTTCTTTTATATATTCCGCCAAATGATAATCTTCTCTTTGCGCCGCGCGTTCCTTTTGTAGCATTTTCGCATTTCTGTCAAAAATCTTCATGGCCCCGTAGACTGAACTAGCTGTTTTAGTTTTTGTACTTTTTGAACTAAGATGTCTAAATACATGTCCATTACGTAAACAATTCGAAAAATTTGTTAACTTCTTTGTAAAAATATATTTGACACTATGTTTAAAAATTGCAGACTGAGCCATTTTATTTTAATGGTTATATTTAAAACTTAAATAAAACAGTACTTTGGAAATTACTTGATTAACTATTCATTGTATTTTATTCGAATTAAGACATCAATTAGATATCTATTTTCTAGACATTTTCATTGAACTTTCTGTTTTGAAAATTGCTTGTCAAATGTCAAGTTGAAAATGACAATCGAGTTTTTTCTAAAAAAAAATCACATTTGGTATACCAATGTTAATGCTTTTTCCTGTTGTTTACAAAAATCTTCTATACGAATTTATTGTTGCTTATTTTAGTATTCACTTCATTAATAAGCTTCTTAAATATTAACTCGACTAATATTCAAATTACAGCACTTGGGTTTCTTTTTTGTTTTACAAGCCTACATTAATGACAGTGACAGTGACAAGTAACACCTGTGAGAATAGGAGATAAAAATAATAATATAAAAAAGTGTTATAAACTCGTTTTTTGTACACTATAAACATCACTTATCTTCTTTAGAAATCCCATAATAATATATATTCCAGGTTTTAATGTACTGCCATAGTAAATATTTAAATTAGTTGTAAGTTTGAACGATCTGTTTATTGTAATAAGTAATAACCACAACCGGTGTGGCATATTACTTAGAGGAAATTAAAAATAAACAGTAAGTGTTAAAGCAAATATTTTCTGTCTCCAAATACAAAGAGATCTTTACACCGTAGATTTGTTGACATTTTTAGTTTTATAATGTTTATGTCATTATACCTTGATAATGATATCAATGTTAATAACTTTACATTATGTAATTTTTTACAACACTTTTAAACCACTGCCTGGCATAAATCTTTTAAAACTATGTAAAGTAAATAAAAAATGTTAAAATAGTGAAGCTAGTAAAGCTTGATAATAATTTGTAAGAAAGCATCTTAGCTAACTTTTGGTCACATTTTTTGTCTGCACCAATACATGTGAATGAAATGATAAGCAATGTTCCAGATGTTGCCAATATTGATGCAGTTTCTGAGGACCAATGCTCCATACATAACTCTGCCCATCGCTGCGGTCGTGGGCATCATCGGGTACAACCTTGAGAGCTTGTTGTCTGACAAATATACACCATACAATAGTGAGTGTCACACACTTTGATCTTATGACACAACTATAAGTATATAATAATATAGAAGAAGATAGAAATCAAAGATTCCACCATAGCTTGAGAGTGAAGTGAATGTCTTAAAAGAAAATAGTTTCTTTTTTACATTTCAGAGCCTGTTCAAGACCAAAGATTTGATAGAATGACGGAGGAAGACAGTTTGAAAGATCCAACAAATGTGAAAAAGCTGAAATATCAAGAAAATGTCCTTGGAAAAAATATACCTCCTTCATTAGAGAAACATTAAATGTTTCACTGGAAGAGTAGAGTAGAACAAATTATGTTTAAGTGAGAGGAAGTGCTGATATTTGACTTGGCTCTTGCAAAATGTGACACTCTTAGAACTTTGTGAATAGATTCATTGTTATTACAAGTATCTTTTTGTATATGAAAGTGCATATTTCTGTTTCCTTTTACTAAAATAATAAATTAACAATAAACTTCTTAATTTTTTCTTCAATTTCAATGGCTAATATACACAGGACTTCAGTTTACTGTGTGTTAATTAAAATGTATTGTAATGTATCACTTTAGCTTTTATTTATTGCAATAAAGAGGTAGATATTAGCAGTCTCTCATGTAAAATAAATGTTATATTTTATTTATAAGAATTTCATTTTTTGACAATCCTTCAAACTTCAATCAATGCATGATTTTTAATCCCAAAAAATTCACTTTATGTTCTTAAGTTTAATCATCGTCTCTTGTATTACAAACATTAGTTGTATGACATACAGACACCCAACTTGTGCATGACATTGTAAAGTACAGCTGAACATCTAGATATTAAAGAAAATTGCTTTATATATGTACTGGGGAACTAAATATTGTGGATAACCTTTATGCCACAATATTTAGTTCCCCAAAACTGGGTTTAAGAAAGTAAACACTATTTCTAAACAGTTTATTTAAAAGGTAAATTAGCTCTTATGATATCTATACAAGATAACCAAACGGCTCTGCGTTGTATCGCGAGCAGGTGGAGCTTTCTCTATCATATCTGCTATTCCATTTTAAATCACTAGAAAATTTGAACTATCACAACAACCTAGTAAATCATTTTAATATTTATATCAAGACTATATCTATATATTTTACATATTAAAATTGTAATATAATAAAAACTGTTCAACTCACTTATTAGACAGGAGATAACTCTCAGGCGCCGACTACGGACTGATTAATGCGACATGAGTCTTAGTTAATTTGTTTATAATGTCTCATGAAAGTTTATAATTTTACAACAAAATAAATTATAACATTCGTTTTAGTACGAAATATTAAGTAAAAAGTGTCCAAATATTTCCCACCAAATTTTAAACATTCTATTTATATTATTATTATTTATCTGTAAAATGTATCTTACTTTCATTAAAATTATTAACACAAACTTAACAGCCATTATTTCTTTAACAAAGAAAAAAATTGTTGAACATTTACAATATAGACAAACATATAATACATGTAAATATTTCTATGTTCAATAGAACACTTACAAACAGTTGTGGACGATGATAACATTCTATTGCTTAATTTTTTTACAAAAATACGGCAGTTTTAATCTTGGTGTTTTAAATATAATCTCCCGGCGCGAGTCGGGCCCTGCCGACCCCGCCTTCGCACAAACACTATGCACTACATTTACAACTATTACTTTATTGCTTCACAATTAATTATAATTTTAAACAATCGTTGTATAATTGAATGATATAAAAATTACACAAAATTAAAATGTTGACTTTTAATTTGTACACAATTAACAACAAATGATTCAACAAAGATCAATTTTACTCCAAAAATATCGAGGTAGTCAGGGGTGTCCGCTCTGCGGTGTCGCTCACAGCCACAGCACACTGCCCACACTGCACACACTGCACACACTGCACACACTGCGCACACTGCACACACTGCGCACCGCTACCCTCGCCACACTGGTTTACATTCAAAGTTAAATCTTTTTGAGGCCCGATTTGCGTTATTACAAAATGTAGAAAAACACTAACGAATTCATTACTGATTATTTAGAAATAATCGGTAAATCAATGAACGCCACTGTTACGTGATGTTACATAGAGGTGTACTACGCTACGCTACGAATCCTCGTCGAAGGGGTTCCTGAGGAGGAAGGCGTCGAGTGCGCGGAGGTGCGCGTGCGCGGCGCGCGGCGCGGCCGAGGTGCG